TGTTTGTGTCAAACTTTATGTGTGATGTTTTTATATCAAATTGAAATAAGTTTTCTTGTAGTGTAATGATAAGATAATTTTTGGTATCACATGTCAAGATTTTCCCTTGTTCTGTTTGGATAAGAGACCGTGATGTGCAGGTTGATATGTAACATACTAACTCTAGGTTTCTAAATTCAAGACAGTTGGGACATATGAACCCCAGAATTTGATACAGGTGTGTAATTTACATTATAATTCAAACATTTTCATTGTCCCTTTTTTTAATTCTGTTCTCTTTAATAAACAAATTCGTTGACTATTATGTATTTGTATGGAAGTTCAATTTAAAGATACGACTATTTCATAAAAGATTACGAGGTAATAGTCAACTTACCGGTATCTATGTAAGATGAGAATTCTGAACCTATGATATCGGTCAACATGGTGTTGTATCGACCAGGTAGATAACTATTCACCTGGTCAATAGATTTTGCCCTTAGTTAATATTTTTCTAGGTTGATATAACACAAAACTGACCTCGTCAAATGTCCATAATTGATTTTATTACATTTTTTTTTGTTTTTATTCTGCATTTCCATTTGTCGAGACACGGTCACGTGTTCTACGATTCTTCTTAATATTGCACAATAAACCGGATTACTTATCATATGTACCGCTTTGTTCTAATTTTAATAAAATGGAATTTCTATTTACGTCACGCATCTATTCTAACCAGTCAAAGAAGTATTTCTTCGGCGCCCATCATTTGTGATTGTAAACATGGAGGCAGATGGCTGGCAAGATGTCAAGGAAGAAGCTAACATGAAGCGGTTTGCTTCACTCTCCTAAGAAAACCATCAATAAATGCAGTAAAATACACATGTTTTTGTTTGTCATACACATAATAACTATTCAAGGGTTCAATGGATTCTGCCGGATTTCTGTAAAGCTTGTTAAATATGAGATGGTCGGTTAAAAATTCAAACGACATGTAATAAAACTATTACTGCACTAGTGTTGATTCAGTATGAGAATTTATGGAGTACAAAAGGAAATATCGACGGAGGCCAGAATCAATAATAGTGCAATAATTGTAAAATATTCCAACCAAGGCATTTTTCTGAATTAATTTTTTTGTACTCTATTGCAGAAAATTAACACGTGTATTGATTATTGCGCGCATGTGCAAACTTCAAGATAAAACTATTTCTTACATTCATACAATCAATTTAATCATTGACCCAATTAATATTTTTCTTCCAGTTTGATATTGCCCCATACTGATCGCATCAAAGGTCTAAAGTAGAAAAAAAAAGGTATTATATCTATGGAATATTAACCCAGTAAATAACACCAAAAAATGAAAATGATATAAACTCGTCTGTATAGGTCAAAATAGAGTAACATGGTCTCGGGCCCCTATGATACTGTTGTGTCTTTAGCCTTAACTGAATATCACATTTTTTCTTTTGTCGACAAATGGATTGGTGCCACCCGCTCCATTCCAAAGAACCAGCATGGATCCAAGCTAGGCAAATCCTTGATCCGCACCTGATTTATAAATCCTTGATCCGCACCCACCTGAGACTAACAGACGTTAATTAAACTGCCATGTACATGTATTTGACTCCTACAAGACAGAGTTGCGAGTTAAGTATAGTTTTTCAAGCGGTGTTTTTTCACAATTCGTGTCGCTTGATTTTGGCATACCTTCAAACATGGCCATTACATATACTATTACACAGACCTCTGGTCCGATTTCGTCGGAACAATGATTATCGCAGGAAAGGTATCATATGCAAACATAGACATAGTTGTCATATACATGTAAACTTGGTGTGTATGTTATTAAGACATTTATTTTTTTAGCCACATGTTAGTATATTGCCTCCATTCAGGAACTTTGGTTGATCTAATCTTCTGCCTCAAGTATCAGTTAACACACGGAAATACGTGGCCTGGTTTAGGTTAGATTCATTGATATGACCAGGTGCTATTCCCCTTCTTCAATGTGGTTAGGGGTACGAGTACCAGAAAACCCCGTTATCGCTCTGATTTAACAGTATTGTTACTTTACCGGAAGTACGATGAGTTATCCCGCATTCACTCTGGTCATTAATCGATAACAACAGCCAGATAAGCCTTGCGCATACTCGTCAATAATTTAAAAAAAATCTTATTCAATACAAATCGTATGCGTCTGTTTCGTCTCTGACTGCATTACTTTTGAGTTAACCTGGACTTCAATAAATATCATTAACTTTTTTGTTCATATGTTATTAACGTAAATATAGATGAGTATAGAGTTTGTGGTATTTGTAGAAAGTATCTAATGAAATGGTGAAAATAAATGATTTAACCGTTATATTTTTATACACATATAAGTGAAATCAGGCTATACGACAATAAACAAGATGTTTTACTATATTTTATTTAGATATGCCCTTCAAAAAGGATTATTCTCCTTTGCGACAAGGAAGGTTCATGCCGCAAGTTCAGGTAATAAATCACGTGTTTCCCATTTTTATGTGAATACACTTAATATCGTACAATGTAAGGAGCTGAAAAACGAAAATGGCATGCCATCTTCCAGCCATAATCATCTTTACCAACCCTTGCCACAATAAACCTTGTACTATTTTATGATATTTATCATGTATTTTCTGTGTGCAGCCATATATACAGTATTGGTAATTAGTCGGATGTACACTGAAAATACACCACAAATTATACAGTATCGATACTTTACCGGAAGTACACCGAATAGGCATCACACATTATACAATGACGACGCTTTACCGGAAGTACAGAGAATATATATCTCCGATATTACATGATATTTGCTTTTCCGGAAGTATGTTGAATATGTATCACAATTTATACAGTAATGACTCTTTACCGGAAGTACAACGAATATGTAACTTCGATATTGCACGACAGAAACTTTTCCAGAAAGTGATATGAATACAACAACTTGTAAGTTTGCTGTGAATTTTAAACTTGGAGAGTCTAAGAAGGCTCGATCTTTCGCACTAGTCGTGGTTGCTTCAGGTTATTCCTGTGTCTTCCACTACAGGGAAAGACGCACTTAGATATCTATAAACACCTGAAAATATACCGGAAGTAGAGAGAATACAGTGTTGTTTGTAACCATTTATGCAAACTATATTTTGTAATTTCATTACCGGAAGTGCCTTGAATACATTTCCTTAGATACGTGGAACAGCTAGTTATGTTGCTACACATTCACAATTGTATTGAAGATTTATAATCTATAAACAGATAAAAAAATGTTGCTGTTATGTAATCCAAATAACTCAATAGTTGCACATTGATATACCGGACAACACTGCGGAAGACACTGAGAATGTAGTTAAGGAGCTTATCAATAATGTACTTGAAATTCCTGACGACATCCCCTTCCAAGTGGTCCCGGCCAAGACATGATGGTAAACCTAGGTATATTGTGTCCTGTAACAGGACGGATCGCTAGAAAGTCCTGAATGCGGTTCCGGAAAAAAATTGCGATCACAAATTATCTTTTTCAGTATGTTCGGATTTATTTCGGCATTAAAACGGTTTTGATATTTCCGAATTCCAGCCTTGCTCTCGGTATTCTTCATTGTATTTCTACTCTATTATCATGTCTGCCGTGTTTATTGTTTCGTGGCCGCTTGTAATACATATAATTATGGCCAGATAGTTATAAAGAATCTGAATCTGGTAATCGACATAAACCGATGTTTATATGATCTAGGTAACTGGATTATTCGATATTGTATCTATGGCTTCCAGACATTCGTTATGTAGAACACGATTTATAAAGATTGTTTTCTCTTTGTATCGGTTGATTGAAACTAATTATCTGGATTTCAAATGTTCCGCTTTACAAATGTAAATATTGAAACATGAAGATATCGTTTTATTACCTTTGACAATTCTACATTTTCAAGTGCATTGTAAACATTATATCATAAAGCCACACAAACCCTGTGTAATACTATAATCAATTGGCATTTGAATTTTAATAAATTGCTTTGTTAAATACATTTTGAGATTTTTTTTGTGTGTGTTTACTTAAACTTCTGTTAGGTATAAAGGCCTCAATGTTCTCACTAGACAGTCATAGCTGATGGCAAGAGTAGAGCTGAACTACTAAATACATATGCTACCATATTTATGGCAAAATGGAATATCCAATTAGTCGCACCATCCCGGAGTCAATAATTTACCTGAAATAAACAAATATATGTATATCCTTTTTTCCTATATGCAATCTTTGTAATAATTGATTTTTCCACCAGTGATCTGCAAAGTACCTTTTACCCCGCGTCTGTCTCTATAAGCAAATAATTCTATAAGAGAAGACAGCATCAGTTTAGAAATATTGATGAAGATTTTACAGTGACGCTCTGTGAGAATCAAAATGAAATACAAATATCGAAATGACGGCACTGATCGATCTTCCAGCAGAGCTGACAGTTATTCGATGTTATCTGTACGGATCAATGGCCGCTTGACAATAACCGTTCCCTTACTAGATTTTATACTGATTATTACGTCAATATGGACTTATCTGTCCTCCACATCCTGTCAAACACATCTCCGGCCAATTTACATGGAATTGCATTTACTTTCTATTCGCTTACGGCTACGTTTTACCACACCGGAAATGAATCCGCAGACACAGAAAAGGAAGAGCATTTGTCCAAACCTTATTTCACCTCGATGTATTATTGCTCGTCATATCCACCATATCGACGGAACATGAATTCGCTCTTGGACACATATGCGTAACAATAGTAACTTATATCCCCGAGTGAATTCGTTACATTTGCTCGAAGTGACATCATTCCGGAAGTTAAACCCGGCGTTGGAATCCGTGTCGACATATACTGTAATATCCTGGCCTGAACAACTACATATGAAATATGTAGTAGTGGTTCATTTTCAACATCGACTTGTCTCTTAATATACTATATTTAAATCATAACATTAATATTAAACTAACGACGCCTTCATTTCATTTTAATTTTTACATAATGCTGAGTTTCTGCAGTTTCCTTGAGACTTGGTTTCTTAAAACGTCTATTTTGGTATCCAGATAGAGTTCCTAAGTCAATCGCTTTTAAAACACGAAAACTCTCTTCCCCCATTCGTATATCATCTGTGTCACTATCGTCATCGTCACCTTCATCCTCCGTGTCCGTTGTCTCGTCCATACCGTACTCTCCTCTACCTACATACAAACTCTGAGATTCAGGATAAAAAGACGACATGCCAAAACTTTTTGGAACCTTGGAACTGTTTCGGTTTGTAGCATCCGGTTCTCGACTACTGAACTCCGCGAATCCTTCAAAACTAGCAAGATCCGTTTCGGACACTAGTGACCGCCGGTCGGACTGAGATGAGACGAAACTAGTAGCAGTCGATGTGCTTTGACGAGAGCGCATGCCCGAAATACGAATACTATTGTTGTCTAGAATATTGTACTTAGCGTGTTTATTTGCCATATTATAATGTCCCGGCATTAGACGTTTTTTGAGACGTATAAGTTCGTTGGTAGACACAGGTTTTGCTGGTCGGACTGGCTCGTGCATTTTATTAGCTACGCCTTGTGCCCTTATGGCACTCCTCTCATTATCGTCCCAGAACACTGAGCTACTGACAGCGCTCCGTCCGTCGTCATATCCGCTCGTCTCTTCGTCTACAAACTTTACCCGTTTAAGTCCTCTCATGGAATTATTGGTTCCGCGACTTTGGGCACTACTCAGACTAGATTTTATACCTGTGTCCTTATTTAGGACGTTGTGACCCGACACCACAATATCCTGTTGGTTCGCTGAAGATGTTGGTCCACTTTTTCTGTCGCTCCAATTTAGAATTTTCCTAGACAAGCGCTTTTGAAGCTCCTCGAATTGAGTGTCTATTTCCCGCATCATATCTCGCTCATTTGTAAGTATATGTTCCGGTATCCTAAAAGTGGGCGCATTCGTACTTATCCTCCTGTTTTTTAAAGTACTTCCGCCCATCATTTGTGAGGTCATAGTAAGAGAACGACCTTCAAGCGACATGGTAGGGTCTACCTGTTGAAGACTTTGTAGATTTTCAATCTGCTCCTCAGGAAATGTGAATCCCCCACTGCTTGGTTTACTGTCCGACTTTTTACTGCCCCCATTAATAGTAGATCCTAGTGAAAGTTTTTGTATATTCTTTGATAATAAAGGATTGTCTGCTGCTATGCTGTTCTCTCTTACTGTTTTTTGAACCGGCGGCTTAAACGGAGCAGCGACCTTCACCTTTTCATTGTTTGTCAGTATCTGAGGGGAATCCTGCAGCGCACATGACTTCCTTCTTTTAACAGGAAATATTGACGGAAGTGATTTGGCACGGTATATATTAAGTTCATTGGACGAATTAGGTCGGTGTTGAGGAGGTACACTATTTGTGACGTAGTTCCCGTTAAATGTATCGGTAGATTCGTAAATATCGACCGCATCACACTTAGCAATACTAGTCGTAATCCGCGTATCGTTACGTTTGTTGAGCGAAACAAAACGTCGCCGCGGTGTCCACGACCTTGCAATTCTGACCTTCGCCGGACTATCTATCCACTCTTTGTCCGTACTCTCCTCCTTACTTTCCTCGTTGATCTGATGAAGTGGCACGGATATAGAGATGTTTTCCGCCTTGGCCGTTTGTGGCGGGGTTTCTCCAACTGAGGTACGCGTTCGGGATAAAGAGATATTTCTCTTTCTCTCTTCTATTTCATCCTCATCTTCAGTAAAAGGTTCCTCAGCAGAATTTTTATAAAACAGCGGTTTCTTTATGGAGAATTTTTGTGGAGCCTCCTTGAACACTTGTTGCTTAGGAATAGATATAGTCCTGTCCTTATTCAATACAAGGTTCGACAGAACTGCCATAGTGTTCGTGAAAGGGTCAGACTGAGATTTCTTTGGTGTAATTATTTCATCACCGCCCTCGTTAACTGCCGCCACTATGTTGATCAAGGCTGCCTGACGAAGGCTTTCGCGCATCTCCTTCATCCGCCGAAGGCTATACCTTTCGGCGCGGCGGCGACGTCCCTCTCGGGACGAGTTCGTGGGCCGTTGTATCTGGTTGTCTTCGTCAAAGCAAATTATATTGTCTTTGACTTCTCCTAGGGGCCGAGATTTCGAAGAGCTTCTTAATCCCGAAACCTCAGCCATTGTGCTGACGTTATCCGACAATCCGGCGTTGTCTGTCATGTGTAATATAGATGAATATTTAAAGGCCCACGGGAGCACGAATACACAATGACATTACTCCTATCTCCAACACTCAACAGATTCAAATCTTCAAAAACACCAACCTAAATATTCATGTCTATAAACGCTTTGAACGATCCGGCCATTGTCTGGTGCGTTACGGCTATTTTTGTTGTAGTTTAGTACCTAATGTCTTCATGGCGAGATGTATGATACTCCTGCGAACAGACGACTGCCCACTGGAAAGAGGCGCATCAAGTCTGGAATATAGCAGATAGAAAATAGCAAATTAATCACAGGTAGAGCTCACAGGTTCACAATCATTGTACGATTTATAGGCAATACACGATATATATATAACATCTAGTTTATGACGACAGAGAGTCGTCATTAACAGCAAGATACACCACAGGTCAGTAGATTGAATGTGTTCATTCAATTATGAATACAATAACTGATATGAAGTAACAGATATATGTATTAAAGCGATCATATTCTGACAAAGTTCAAAACACCCCACAGAAATTACCTCGCATGGTTGTTCTGTTGTAACATAATATCTCATTTGAATGGAGGAGATCTTATCTTCGGGGTCTGGTGAATTGGGTGGGGCGGGGGACATCGGCTGGACAACGGGGTGAGTGACATTAGACATTATTGGAGTAGGGGATGGAAGGGGAGGGGAGACCGTCTGAACATCAGGGTAGACTTTGGATATGGGAGGGGAGGGGAGATCTGAATAACAGAGTGGATGATATTGGACCTTGTAGGGAGTAATAGAAGAGTTGGAGAAGATCGGCTGGACATTGGAATATATGACATTGGGCATATAGCGGGAGGGGGAGGGAGTGTAGGAAAATACATTGTTTTTGACAATGGGTCGGGATAAGCTGACCATAAAGTGGGCGGGGGCGTGGTGGCGAGGAAGATTTGCCGAGCAATGTTTAGAGGTGGAAAAAACGGGAGAAGAGACAGGGTGACTACCACTAAACGAAAAAATGGAGGAGAAACCTGCATAAAGGGATAGGATGAGAGCTTAAAACAGAGGGATCAGATAGGATAGGCGTACAGTTTTATCATTAAATAACAACATAACTGATCAATGTACACAAAGACATACATTTAACAGTGAGTGCATGTATTATCTGTTAAAACGACACATTAAACAGTGAGTACATGTGTTATCTGTTATAACGACACATTAAACAGTGAGTACATGTGTTATCTGTTATAACGACATACATTAAACAGTGAGTACATGTGTTATCTATCTGTTATAACGTTATAACGACATACATTAAACAGTGAGTACATGTCTTATCTGTTATAACGACATACATTAAACAGTGAGTACATGTATTATCTGTTATAACGACACACATTAAACAGTGAGTACATGTGTTATCTGTTATAACGACACATTAAACAGTGAGTACATGTGTTATCTGTTATAACGACACATTAAACAGTGAGTACATGTGTTATCTGTTATAACGACACACATTAAACAGTGAGTACATGTGTTATCTGTTATAACGACACATTAAACAGTGAGTACATGTGTTATCTGTTATAACGACATACATTAAACAGTGAGTACATGTGTTATCTGTTATAACGACATACATTAAACAGTGAGTACATGTGTTATCTGTTATAACGACACATTAAACAGTAAGTACATGTATTATCTGTTATAACGACACACATTAAACAGTGAGTACATGTGTTATCTGTTATAACGACACATTAAACAGTGAGTACATGTGTTATCTGTTATAACGACATACATTAAACAGTGAGTACATGTGTTATCTGTTATAACGACATACATTAAACAGTGAGTACATGTGTTATCTGTTATAACGACATACATTAAACAGTGAGTACATGTGTTATCTGTTATAACGACACACATTAAACAGTGAGTACATGTGTTATCTGTTATAACGACACATTAAACAATGAGTACATGTGTTATCTGTTATAACGACACACATTAAACAGTGAGTACATGTGTTATCTGTTATAACGACACATTAAACAGTAAGTACATGTATTATCTGTTATAACGACACACATTAAACAGTGAGTACATGTGTTATCTGTTATAACGACATACATTAAACAGTGAGTACATGTGTTATCTGTTATAACGACACACATTAAACAGTGAGTACATGTGTTATCTGTTATAACGACACATTAAACAGTGAGTACATGTGTTATCTGTTATAACGACATACATTAAACAGTGAGTACATGTGTTATCTGTTATAACGACATACATTAAACAGTGAGTACATGTGTTATCTGTTATAACGACATACATTAAACAGTGAGTACATGTGTTATCTGTTATAACGACACACATTAAACAGTGAGTACATGTGTTATCTGTTATAACGACACATTAAACAGTGAGTACATGTGTTATCTGTTATAACGACACACATTAAACAGTGAGTACATGTGTTATCTGTTATAACGACACATTAAACAGTAAGTACATGTATTATCTGTTATAACGACACACATTAAACAGTGAGTACATGTGTTATCTGTTATAACGACATACATTAAACAGTGAGTACATGTGTTATCTGTTATAACGACACATTAAACAGTGAGTACATGTGTTATCTGTTATAACGACACATTAAACAGTGAGTACATGTGTTATCTGTTATAACGACACACATTAAACAGTGAGTACATGTGTTATCTGTTATAACGACACATTAAACAGTGAGTACATGTGTTATCTGTTATAACGACGTACATTAAACAGTGAGTACATGTATTATCTGTTATAACGACACATTAAACAGTGAGTACATGTGTTATCTGTTAAAACGACACATTAAACAGTGAGTACATGTGTTATCTGTTATAACGACACACATTAAACAGTGAGTACATGTGTTATCTGTTATAACGACATACATTAAACAGTGAGTACATGTGTTATCTGTTATAACGACATACATTAAGCAGTGAGTACATCTATTATCTTGTGTAACCACCTACTGATTTTAAGATCAAGGTGTCGGTGTCGCAGATTTAATTATAATCACATATCGCACAACAAATCAATAATGGATTTAACAAGCTTTGTGAAAATCAATTATTGTTTGATAAATATAAGCTTATCAGAAAGTGCCCCCACTATGTTCTGTTCCCCACGTTAAGGGAGGTATACTAACCCTGCGTCTGTTGGTGGAGGTGATTAACACCCTCGAGTAGTTAGACTACCACAGCATGTACCTGTAGTCTTAAGCACCATATCGATTCAACAGGGCAGCATGCTTCCCAACTTTACTTAAGATTTCTTGTTCAATATGATAATGTTAAAGTAAGTATGGTGACCATGATTCTTGAACTTCATGTGTACGCTGTCCTTCATCTCCAACACCCTCACCTCCAACACCCACCCCACCATCCCCGCCTCTGATTAAGTAGGCGTTGGAATCGCCGCCCCCTGCCCTGGATCTACAGCTATTTAAGTGATGCTACTCATATTAAATGTTAAAAGTGACCACAATGTCTTTCTATACATATAGAAATTATTTCGAAAGGCGTTGAAATTATGAAACTGTTTTTTATTAATATACATATTCACAGTAGCAGTTTGGTGTCATAAGGCATGGTTAGTATTTCAGGTGTAAAATGCCCTCTCCTAAAACACATAACTCTACTTGTAGGTGGTGTATTGACAAAGGCAGACAGTAGGGGGCGTTACGGTCGTGGCTTACGATCACAATCTACGGGAGAACAACGCTATAGAACAATGGCTTGCCATTTCTGCACATGTTCAATACACAATGGTGGAATCCACCTTAATTGGTGTTCAAGTCCTCAGCTTAAATTACAGTCCATGTTGCAAATTTCATATTGACATTTAAATAACTGGTTTCCAAACATTATGACGTCTCATGACGATAGTCAAACCGAAGTAGCCCGCTGATATCTATTATCTTAACCATGTTCCATTAACAGTGTGTTGTATGATATAATTTTCGCCACGTTGCACAGAGAAGCGTACAATACGCTGATGTAATGTATTAAGTTACATTGCTATGGTATCACGTTCTAAATTCTGAATGATACTAGTTCATTACTTTATTCTACATAATTGTATCACTTCTCTGACCCATATTTCAATATTGAGGAATTTCTTCTCAATATACTTCTCAGTCTCTATTATTTTAAATTATGTGTTATGTTATTTTGGTTAATAGAAGAACTTATTTTACAAAAGACGTTTTTAAAACGTCCCTGGATCTTAATACGTAATAACAGGAACTGTATCTCCCGGGTATAACTAAGAAACAGGATGACTGTATCTCCCGGGTATAACTTAGTGACAGGATGACTGTATCTCCCGGGTATAACTTAGTGACAGGATGACTGTATCTCCCGGGTATAACTTAGTGACAGGATGACTGTATCTCCCGGGTATAACTTAGTGACAGGATGACTGTATCTCCCGGGTATAACTTAGTGACAGGATGACTGTATCTCCCGGGTATAACTAAGTAACATGATGGCTGTATCTCCAGGATATAACTAAGTAACAGGATGGCTGTATCTCCCGGGTATAACTTAGTGACAGGATGACTGTATCTCCCGGGTATAACTAAGTAACATGATGGCTGTATCTCCAGGATATAACTAAGTAACATGATGACTGTATCTCCCGGGTATAACTAAGTAACAGGGTGGCTGTATCTCCCGGGTATAACTAAGTTACAGGATGACTGTATCTCATGGGTATAACATAGTTACAGGATGACTGTATCTCCCGGATATAACTAAGTAACAGGATGGCTGTATCTCCCGGGTATAACTAAGTAACAGGATGGCTGTATCTCCCGGGTATAACTAAGTAACAGGATGGCTGTATCTCCCGGGTATAACTAAGTAACAGGATGGCTGTATCTCCAGGATATAACTAAGTAACAGGATGGCTGTATCTCCCGGGTATAACTAAGTAACAG